TAGCAACGTTTGAATCGACCGCTCATCGCCATACCGGAACCGGAATTTTTGTTTTTCATGGTCTTATAGGCGCCTTTCCCCTATCGGTTTTTTTTCTAAACTATTAAGACATGTTTTTTTCTTTCTTCCTTATACCTTTAGTACAATGTACCATTGATGAATCTTAAATAGGCAAAGTGACATTACGAATTATTTTTATTCGGCTTCCAGTCTCTGCAAGGTACGTTTTAAACAGATGCAAATCACATTTCCGTAATATTTATTTTATTATACAGAATATTTCAAAGCAAACAGAAGTCGAATAACTTCAATGTAATTGTTACACAAATCAAAACTGTTTAAGTCATATGTTATTATATGTCTGCCAAATATCTGATTCTTTGACAACTTTACTACAAATAAATAGCAGGAATTGAGCTTTCTATATCCACTGCACTATACACTTCACATTATGTGTTGACATTTTTCTGCTACAAAACATGGAGTTTCCTCAAAAGATGCTGATAACTGAAAATAGTCTGAAACCTTAATCATATCTTTTAGAATACTGTGTTTAAAAAAAAAGGTTATACATGTATCTCTTCGATCCACCAGGGACAGTATATAGTATACGTCCCTGGATCCACTAAACATCAACAAACAACATTTAAACCCTTCATTCCCTAAACCTGTGATTAAAAGGATTGTAAAAGAAAATATATGTGTTCGCTCAAATGTTAAAATATTGCTGTTCAACATTCATATTTACAGTGGTGTTCAAATCCACTAATACATAAGTTGACATAAAATTGTACTGCAGTATTTTTTGGTCTGATCTTTGACAGATAAATAAGTCTCATCAAGGGTCATTGACCTGTCAGAAGTTGAAGTAGCTAAAGTTATTTGACTTTGGTGTAGAAGCTACCTAAAAATAGCAGAAATTCAGGGGTTGGATTTTCACGAACTTGAAGAGTTGTGCCCTTTGTTTGCTTTCCTATACATCTTATTCTGGCAGTTTATCATTCATATTTTTATTTTCCCATTTGTTATGCACTTCATATACATCTGATGAGAATGTATACAATTAGTTAACCAACTAGAGGATCTACGGAAAAACATGATAATCTTTTCAATAGTCAAGCAATTCATGTCAGTCCGTTTTTTTGTTTTTTTTTTTTTTATCTCTTAAAAAATGTATGGTTAAATTCTGTGATCGGAGATAAGAACATACAAATACATTTATCACGTGACATGTCATGCATCTCATAAGCCTTAAGGCTTTACAGAATAAAATGAACTGAATTGAAGATCAATTTGACGAAGATAGATAGCTCGAGTTTCCTCTGGACGAGAAGTCTGGTGTTAGGGCCAGAGGATTTTCGGGCTTGAAGATAGATTGACAGATACATCATTTAGCAATAGCGTGCAGTACTGTGTTACCTGGGTGCATATGTATCAGAGACGTATATATTACGTAATATACATTGTACACGTCTCTGTAAGTATGCAGAGATTTCAGAGATTTCAGAGATTTTTATTATCACTCAGGCACACTACAAGAGGTCATCATAAAGTACAATATAACAATGATATGGTTGACCGTAAAGCACTCATCTTACTATACTAGCGTACAATAATATAGTGGAAACTATTACACTCCTTATACAATGATAAACACAATATTACACTGTACTAGCATACCGTATTATAATAGACAGTATAACGCACTGATCATACAATGACACTCATCATACACTGTGATATACATTATTACACTCATTTTACAATACTATTACGATGGTATAATACATAGCATTACATTCACTCATACCGTGCGTTCACACTGTGGTATGGCAGGCACTGTTGCATCCATCTTACAGTACAATCCTACAATAATATTATTACAGTATAACACATATATTACTCGCACTCCATGATATATATATTATAGATAGTATACCACACCATACAGTGCAATCATACCATGGCATAATAGTGACTATAATACTCATCATACCATATAATATTACAAAGGTATAATAGACAGTGTTACAATCCCATCATACAATACTGTAATAGACAGATAACAAACAAACCATGATAAGCAAGCTGTAACCACACTCATTATGCAATATAACTATGTTAGGTTTAGCAAATGATCAGTAATATCTATATGTATACAAAAGTTTACAGTTTGATGTGTGAAATTCACACATTATTTTTTTAATTGTCTTTCTAGTAATTGTACGAAATATGAATAATTTTCAGGCATTTCCAGAATATCAAAATTGTCAATTTTAGTTTCGACAAAAACAAGAATATCATGAGATGTAATCATATCAATAAACTCAGGCAAAAGCAACTTGGACTTAATGCCACAAACATTTAAACAAGTCAGTTTTAAGTCAGGACACACACCACCATGGTTACCATGGTGACTTACACCGGGACCTCTTGTGACGCGTCCCTAGCGACGATGGCCGGTTGCTGCCCTCCCGCCGCCTATTAGCAAATCGATTCACGATCATGTGTACCCAATTGTCCGAAACACCAACTCAAAACTTCTGATCTCATTTTTTTCCGGAAGAAAAAGATTCATTAAACAACCCGACATGTGTTTGTTATCTTACTGTTGTTATATAGCTATGAATCATGCAGTTGATTTTTAACTAGAATATAATCAGATTATTTTTTTGGGATTTGAAAGCATACGTTAAGTATTAAGTTGTACAATCGTTTAACAGGGGATTAGGTCGATTTAAACACACGTTTACAGGTGGCCTACAATGAAAGACTGGCATTGGTCAGTTTAGGAACAGTATATACTTCACTATACGTCCCTGGTCAGTTCTAACGAAAACCTCATTAGTCATGGTCATTTAGGTAGGTGTCCAACGCTTAAAGCGGATTGAGTATAAAACTGACCATTGATATTGGTCTATTAACTAGATCCTGCGAATGGTATTCCATTTATTTATACATGTAGATTGGACCTCTGTGTGAAATGGCCACTCAAACAGAAATGCTTGATATAGAGACATTATCAACAACATCAGTTTCATAAAGTTATTTCTAGAAATTACGCTAAACACCAAGACTTCTCCACTGATTACGTATTGGCCACAGCAGACGAAATAACTTCAAACGTAGATATATTTTGATTTGGTACATTGCTTAATTATGGTATTGCATGGACGCCATGACTTTTTCAGCGACATTCGTATATAAGTGATTTCACTATCTTATTATAAAAAGAGATAAATTAGTTGCTTAAACTTCGATTGATTTTACAATATATCGGGAAATGTACATGTTTAAAGATGGATATATCCCTAAAGATTGATTGTAAAATCAATGGAAGTTTAAACTGTTAAATATATTATGTGTATGCATGTATTTATGAAGCTAAGTGCGACCATTCGTATGCAGTTTAATAATGGCGGTCATACACTTCCGTACATAACAATAAAATATGCTTCATTCAAATCTTTGTGCACCAGAAAGACATTGCCTATCTTGGTAATCTGTTTTACAGACTCATTACTGACTTTGGTATAATAATTCATTTTATCATGATTTTGATCATCCTCGATATCCAGGGGTTACGCTCACCTACGCTCTCTACGTATACAGTGTAGAGAGTGTAGGTGAGGGTAACCCCTGGATATCGAGGATGGATTTTGATATAAGCATTGTTTTAACTCCAGTTTGAAAGAAAATTAATTTTTAATCATTTTACTCTATATCTTAGTCATACATACTAAGTGATATAAAACCAAGCTGCTTACATATTTTCTAATATCAAATATATATTACGACGAATCATGAATGTGTTTTAAGAAGTTTTTTTAGGTCACCTGGTCCGAAGGACCGGTGAACTTATGCCATGGCATAATTCTTTAATCCCTATGGTAAAAGAAGGATTTTAAAGGTTTTACCCATATTTCCCCTATTGGGCCCCGCCTCTCTGCCTCCAGGGGAGTTAGACACACCGTTTATACAAAATTGGTTCCCCTTTACCCAAGGATACTTCATACCAAGTTTGGACAAAATCCTGTCATTCGTACAGAAGAAGAAGGTACATGTATTTGAAGAATTTGTTTTGTTTCCCTTATTGGCTTCCGACCTTCTGCCCCCAGGAGGGCCACACTCGCTGTTTACACGAAATTGAGTCCCTTTTGCCCAAGGATACTCCAGACTAAATTAGGATAAAATCCCCGAATCCCTATGGTAGAAGAAGGGTTATAAATGTTTTACCTCTATTTCCCCTATATGGCCCCGCCCCTCAGGTCCCAGGGGCGCCACACCCACCGTTTATACAAAATTAGTTTCCCTTTACCCAAGAATGCTCAACCAAATATGGACCAAATCCTTTCATTCCTACAGAAGGAGAAGGATTTTAAAGAATAATTTGCTATGCTTCGCCTATTGGGCCCTGCCCCTCAGGCCCCTGGGGACCACACCCACGGTTTATACAAAATTGGTTCCCCTTCACCCAAGGAGGCTTTAGACCAAATATGGAACACATCCTTTCATTCCTACAGAAGAAGAAGGATTTTAAAGAATTTGCTAGATTTCCCCTATTGGGCCCCGCCACTCAGCCCCCGGGGGCCAGACCCACCATGTATACAGAATTTGTTCCGCTTCCCCCAAGGATGCTTCTGACCAAATATGGAACAAATCCTTTCATTCCTACAGAAGAAGAAGGACTTTAAAGAATCATTTGCTATGTTTCTCCTATTGGGCCCGCCCCTCAGTCCCCAGGGGGCCAGACCCACCATTTACACAAAATTAAGTTCCCTGAGCCCAAGGATGCTCCAGACTAAATTAGGATAAAAATCCCTTAATCCCTACGGTAGAAGAGGGATTTTAAAGGTTTTCCCTCTATTTCTCCTTTGGGCCCGCCTCTCTGCCCCCAGGGGGACCACACCCACCGTTTATACAAAATTGAGTCCCCTTGGCCTAAGGATGCTCCAAACCAAATTTAGTCAAAATCTACTTGGCCGTTCAGGACTAGTAGCGTTTTAAAGGAAAAGTTGACGGACGGACGTTGGACGACGGATGACGGACGCTTCGGTATGGCATAAGCTCACCATGGTCCTTCGGATCAGGTTAGCTAAAAAGGTATATATATATGAAGCTTAAATCAGGAACAGTTAGTTTCAGAACTCATTTGATAATAAATGGGACCTCATTGACTTACACCAGTGTAGGTGCTAAAGGTGTGGTAATACAATTCCTCCTAGAGCATTTAAATGACACAATTGCTATAAAATTATATCATCATTGCAATATATTCAAACTGTTATTTTCATACAGAATATTAGACTATTTCAAGAAAGAATTGTCATTTTATTGAAGATTAAGCAGAAAAGTGTGTTAAATTTCATTTCTAATGAGAAAATTTTCAGTTTTTGACACATAAATTTATATAGACTAAAACTAGTCTATTTTTCTTACTTTCTGAAAAGTCGGCTACTAATTATATCTTTCAGCATCAGGAATTTCAAAAAATGACAACCGGTTTTGTCATATAACATTTTTGGTTCCAAAAAAGAAAAAAGCATCGCGTTCTTTCCACATTTCCTTTAACTTGTGTTTCTTCCTGACTAAAGATCATTGGGTCTTAATGTTTGGCAAGTAGGTTGTTCATGTGAATATAAGTTTAAGTGTTGTAAACGTTGATGACCTTGACCTTCGTTCAAGGTCACAAAAATTAAATGTGCTGAAATATATTTTTTTGTATGGGGAGTCAGAGAAGGATATCATTCTTTGCTTTATTTGTTTAGAATTAACGATATAAAATAGTGTAATTCTCCTCCATATTTTGTTTAATTAATGGACAATAGGCAAAAAAAAACACCACAAAAAAACTAGAACTGTAAGCCAAAGAATAGCTAGTACCCTCGCTCCTATATAAACCAGAACTGTAAGCTAAAGGCTAACTAAGACAAAGCATTGCAAAGCAATCCATAGTCTCCCAACAGTATATATTTAAGTATATATGTCACTGACATACTTCTTGTACTTCCTCCCCATGCTAAAACATACTTTCATACCAATCTTGTTAGGCCAGATAACCAGTTTTGCTGAAATCGTCCTAGTAGTTAAGGAAGAGTTGTCAAGATAAAGACTTTTAACAAAGGGCCATAACTCATTAAAAAGGGTCGAAATGAAAAAAATACCATCCTGATGCACGAACCCTGATGCACGACATCAGGGGTAATTACCATATCTGTAAACATTCGATGAAATCGGCCGAGAAGTTTATGAGGCAGACAGAGGTTTTATTCAACAAAGGGCCACAACTCCTTTTTAAAGGATCAGAATATAAACATACTACTTGGATGCACAATGTCAGGGGCAGTTACCATATCTGTAAACTTTCGTTGAAATCGGCTCCATAGTTTTGGAGGAGTTGTCTGGACAAGTAGTTTTCAACAAAGTGCCATTACTCCGTAAAAAAGGGTTAGATTGACAAAGGAATATCGGGATGCACACCATCAGATAGTAGTTACCATATCTGAAAACTTTCGTTGAAATGACCCCTTAAGTTTTGAGGACATGTCCAGACAAAGATTTTTCAACAGAGGGTCATAACTTTGTTAAAAAACGGGTCAGAATGAAAAAATAATACCTGGGTGCACAACTTCAGATGTTAGGTATCATAATTGGAAACTTTCGTTGAAATTTGTCCATTACTTAAGGAGGAGTTGTCCGGACAAACTTTTTCTACGGACAGATAGACGGATAGACAAGCTGATTCCAGTATACCCCCACACCCCACCCCTAACTTCGTTGCGGGAGGTATAATAAAGTGTATAATAGTTTTAGTATTAAGGACTTTCCACCCTTCGTAATACACATGTTTTTCTTGTCGTATTTTCGTGTCGTCATTTCCGTATTGCGTATCGGGCATTCCGTTACCGTAGTGTAAATTATAGTAACACCGGGAAACAAAAGTACACGTGCGTGACGATGATATGTCAACACCCGATATCGAGACTTACTAATAACTTGGAAATCATGTGCAATTACACGTACTTCAGAAATAAAGCTTATGATACAAAGATATTAATTAACTCACAGGAAAACACTGACATACGATCAGAAGGTCGTATATATATGAGGCGCATGTAATGCAGACTGATGTGTTTTGTTTACCGACCTCACCTGTACGTATCACGTGCTAACAGTAGTTCACAAGCTCTTGGTCGCTACGACTTTTGTTGTCGAGCAGCGAGTTACGTTCTGTCAGATAAATCGGTTCACAAATGCAATAACAATACTCTGTGAAAATAGTGGTTTGTAAAATATCAGGATCCCTATAAAATGCAAGTGCATGTGCGTGCACGTAATACGGCATACCATGCGATAGCCTACGGTTACATATGTACCTGACATAGAAGGTTCCATAAAAGAACAGTAAATTGACAATTGAATATAGTAATTTAATTTATTTCCGTCGTTTTTGGTATAGTAAATAAAATAAGTGTCATTGTATAAATTCTATCCCTCTGCAAAAAGTTCCGACTTTTTTCAAGGTAGACAACTCTCATCAGGATCAAAATCATTGTAAAATGTAAAATAAATGAATAATAAAGACTTTGTGTGTATTTGGTTCAATTTTTCACTCTTTTTGTATGAAACTATGTGTCCTGTTTGCTCTTAGATTGTAGTTAGTAGCTTTTATCAATACAATTTCAATAAAAAACGCTTTTTGTAATATTTTGTAGATATTTTATGATAAATAAAATAACTGTAGGGTTGATTAACAATGTTTCTTTTCATTATTTTATTTTCGTAATTGTTTTGAATAATGCCACATGCTCAAAAAATTGTGAAAGTGTTGAAATTGACAAAAAAAAACCAGTTTATCGGAATGCTTAGATTTTCATAAAATCATCTCTATATAGTGACATAACCATCATGTGAAACTTTCATTGAATTCTGCTGGCTAATTGCGAAAGGGGGGAGCCTCCTTAAGTAGCTCTCCAGAGGAAAGATTACTTTGGCAGAATACATATTCATGAGTTATTACTGCTGCACATAACTTTAAAAGATGCGTAATATAATAAAGTGTTTTGGTATGATACAAAAACAGAAATTGTATCGGTATTTATCATTGCTTGTCAAATCTTCAAGA